ATCGCGATACAAAGTAGATGCTACCTCCCATGTGGCACCAGATCGCTCCTCTAATGTTTTCAGGGGTCTGTGTTTTTACTGCTCTCAGTTTGTACTTTTTAACATTTTATCTGTCATAGACGAAAATGTCGATCAATCAGTGTTAATCAATTATGGAAGAATTACTGATGTAATTGAGGCATGAATAACACAGTTTTCTTACATTATAACATTACCTATATTTTTATTTCTTTTCAGGCACGGTTGAAGCAGAAGCATTTTCAGTTTCAATTTTAGCGAAGAGTTTGATCTGAATGAAGACCAAAGGGGAACATACATTCATTTAACCATATAAATGTTATATGACTAATGAAAGTCAATAAATAAGTTGAATGTTTTTCGTTGTTATCTTGAGCGTTACAATAATCCGTAAAAAAAACTTAACTTAAACCCACTATATTATTTTTTAATTTTTTTATTTTTCATTATTAATTTTTTTTGTCTTCGTAAAATGTCTTTGATCATCACTTGAAACTAAACAGTCAATGGATGAAAAGTGGAATGTGTGATATTAGTAAATCTGTAGCAGAGTCCTTTTCAACACATTATCAGAATAGTATGGGGAGATCACTCTAAATTCTAGCATGTTATATATAAAACATGACAGGGCCGTTTTCTTATCTCAGATATTTTTTTTTCTTATTGTAATGCACACGCAGGTGAGGTAAGAGGTTTTTTAACGCAGCTGAAAATTCTTTTGAAAAATCTTTATTTAATCAAGGTTTTATTGAGCAGGAAGCCTAAAGATGGAAACTATGTAATAAGTTTTGCATTATCCGTTTTAACTACTTCAACTTAAATGTCATTGATTGTCTGTGTGTTTGCGTGGTTCTGCTTGATCCACTTTTGACAGCTTATGATGAAAAAGGCGCAGATAACGAACAATGATCGATCTAAAAAATCTACAAACAATACAAATCTGTGAACAGGGCATAAAACACGGAACCCCCCCTCCAGAAATTCCAGAGTTGGGATCAGGTTTCTAGGAGGAGTAAGCATCCCTGTTGACCAGTCACACCCGTCATGAGCCCTATGTATTGACCAGGTAGACAAGCATTCCGTAGTCAAACTTAGTATAAATTAAAACAATTGATACGAAACACACCAGCCTAAAAAACGACCCATTTATAGTTTATTTTTGCTAACAAGGTCATTATAACAACCATAGAATTTACGAAATGCTGACTTTAAACGAGGTTGTTGAAATCCCTGTAACGTCAAATTATCTGTCAGGAGCCTGTCCCGGTTTAAAAATTGTTCGTATTCAGAGCATGTTCTTGAGTATCAAATAAGTTGAGAGACGTAAACCCAATATGCAGGTGTTAGCGGAATATTACTACACAAATAAGGAAAGTTGACGATGGAAAAGCTGAAGTCATCTCGTTTGTCATACAATTTACTTGTTAGTAGGCCCTTATCGTCTATAGTCAGACACTGACTAAAGACACTCTGTGTTTTTTTTTATTTCAAACCCACTTGGATATATACAGTCGACATGGAAGTAACTATTGTTAATTGATAAAACATCTATATATATGAATGTCGAGATGAAGGCCGCAGCATGTGTTCTCTTTTTCTCATGTGAAAATTTTTGAATGAATTCTGCTTCACAGGAATATAAAAACAGCTCGGCTAACAAAGGGGCATAATTAGTGCCCATCGGATTTCCAATTGTTTGTTGGAAGACCTGGACTCCGAAGACTACATTAATGTAAATAAGGAACTCCAGCATCCTTTAAATATCAACTTCAGATTCCTGTTGTGTAGATCAGAGTGATTTTTAACAAAGTAATACTTTGCTGAACAATTCAAGATGCGAAAATTTCCGAGTTTCATTTTTAATTGAAAAAGCAGTTGTCTATGATATCAAAAAACCTAGTTTTTCATTTATCGTGAGGAATTGTTGTATAAAGTGTAGAAAATTCGTACGTTTTGATGTTATTGACTGTAGAAAACATTAGTGATTTTAAATTTTCTAAAAGTTCTTTGAAGTTTTTGAGAATGAACATCTGATTTACAGCACTTTTAGAATATGCTGTAGCACAGTACATTTGAAGTTTCCCCTTTACATTTTTTGTAAAGAGTAAATATAGGGGCTTGGTAGGGCATTTGCTGGACCGAGCAATGTATCTCTGTCTGTAAGGATTTTTATGAAGTTTAGGAATCCAGTATTTAGTATAGGTAGGGTAGATCGAACTCATCTTGGTTGACTGGAATGTTTATAGTATTGAACACTGAAATGTGATTTTGAAGAATTTCATCTTTAGAAAGTGAACTGCGAGTATAAGTTGGATTTCAAGACATAGACTTGAAACCAAGTTCTTCTAAAGTACAGTTATAATAATGAGCCTTACAAACAAGGACAGTATTGTTACAAGGCTTGTCTGCTGGAACCATTACATTTTGGTCATGTAGTCTTTCTAATTCTTTTATCACCTCCGATTTAGTGTAAAAGTAAGGATAGATGGTTTCCATATTGCCCTTTGACTTTCTAATACGATTGTTTGATATATCTTTAAAACACTTAATCTTTCATACAATGTGTTCAGGTCTTCCCTTTCATATTCAGCTCAACGTCTGGCATAATCTTCGATAGAATTCAGAATTCTGTCGCCCGCGTGGCACAGTGGTTAGAGCGTTTGCTCTAGAGCTGCGAGTAAGGAGTTGATGCTCACGTCGCAGATTTGATTCCCAATACAGGACGTGGAGACCGGTCCTTCAAATGATACCTTATAAACCGAGGTCCCGTGTCACAGTAGGTGCTGACACAAAAAGATCCCTCACTGCTTAAAGACCGTAAGTACCGAGTACAGGTCTAAATTTGCAGCTCTCTACCGACATGTGGTGGCGTCTCAATATGAGTGGAAAAACGTTAAAATACAAACAAACTTTCGCCAATCAAAAGATCGGGACTCTATGTATTTAGGACCTATTAAGATGATTGCTTTTAGGTCTTCATTTTCAACTATATTAATATCACCGATAATGTGTCCAGCGGGACTGTAGTTGAAAGAAGAAGAAGAGCAAGAACACTTAAGAGGATTTTGTTTTAGATGTTCAATATCAAGGCATTGTAAGATTTGTTTATAATTGAAAAGTTTGGAAGCAACAGTTTGGGAATATCTGTGGGAAATGCAGGATGTAGACTTCAAGTTGAAATACGGTGGAAAGCAAGACCTAACATTTTATGATTAAAAATGTTACTAATCTTCGCAACATCTATTTCTTTGATGGCAAATTTAAGTTTAAGGTACCAAAGGTTTGCATAAGAATTATCTTCTGACACAGGTGGTCACATAAAGAGCATGTGCTGGACAACATCCATAATCAACAATACTAGCTTGTTTTCTGGAGTTGAACAGTCTAAGTATGGATTTGCTATATCTTCTTCAAATTGCCCATTCAAAAAATTTCAAGGGAACTGAGTAAAGTTTAGTGCGAATGTGATGAAGAGCTAATTTTTTATTGATGTAAAGCAAAAGTTATCAAAAGAGATATCATGTATATTTGCTCTATTGTATGATCGATATTCATGACTATGCATACGTCTAGGTGTATTGTTTAAAAGTACCATGACATTCATTTTGGCACATTGTGGATGAAATATATGGAGATAATGAAAAGTATTCAAGCTCAAAAGTCCATTCAAACAATACAAACCAGGAGTAGAGCAAACACGGACCTCTAAAACATCAGAGGTGGGATCAGGTGCCATGGAGGAGTGAGCACTCCCAGCAGACCGATCACACCCGCGTATGCTCCTTGTCATGATGGGGGAACAACGGAAAAATCCGTCGACAATTCAGTTGGTAAATAATGACCTAATGACCTAACAATTAGTATGAAAAACCTCAGTCAGCATTTGACTAAATGATAGAATGTATTTGCTGACAAGGTCATTGCATCGACCATAGTACTTGAATGATGACTTTAAACGAGACTGTTGATATTTTTGTTTTATCAACTTGTTTGTCAATAACTTACCTCTTTTAGAAATTGTTCAAGAGCATGCTCTTGTGTATCGAATCAATTGAGAGATATAAACCCCAGTATTAGTCGGATGATATTTTTTTCCAGAATTCTAACCCTCATTTAAAGAATAGAGTGGCCAGGGAAATTTGAAATGTTTATAAAGATGTTGATGGCCCCCATTATTTATTACAAACCTATGCCACAACATCCTCTTATTAAGGTCAGACGACACTTTCCTCAATAGTATATAATTTTTTCCAAGAATTGTCATTGAAGCATTGCTACTATAACAAGTTACCTGACAAAAGATGAGGTACCCTACCAGGCATTTGTGCAAGATACCAGAGGATGCTATTTACTACATAATCCTATTGGAAATCACTAGCATTGGCAATATCACAATTTTTTTATGTCTTTCTTTACTTAGACATTTTGAAAACAATTTTAAAAATCACAAGATAATGATAATTATGATAAATCTGTTGTATATTTCAAAGGGTTACAAAACAGATATCCGAGAAACGTGTCGTCAGACCTCAAGTTAACCCTTTGTTTTCCCAATATAAATCAGTCCGCATAGAGTACTTTCAATTCCATAAACAACATTTGAAGTTTTACAAGTAAAAATGTCACTAGTTCAGCATAAAAACTATGTCAAGTAAGGTTTTATAAAAGGTTTGATTTGTTTTCTATCAAAACTGGTTATCTAATATTACATAAATACTTGTGGAAGCCTATAGTTCCCTTATGAATATACTAGTAGATGACATTTTTAGCATTTAAGAGATAAGAAATCTATATAGGAAACTGTCTTACCTTTGGATCTATATCTAGTGTAAATGTTTTAGATATGTGTTAAATGCTTGAATTAGCCTTCCTCCCCCAGTTTTTTCTCACAATCTAGCCTTGATGGAAACTGATCGAAACTTCACTCAAGAGCTGTTTCAACTGATACTAAGTTACCTGCTTGATTTTAGCAATCATTGACGTGATGACAAAAAAGGTTGCGGTGATAGGATCTGGTGCAAGCGGACTGACCGCCATCAAATGTTGTGTGGATGAAGGGTTACATCCAGTGTGTTTCGAGCGAACAGACCACATAGGTATATTTAAGATCACAACCAGTAATTATGTTTGACACATCATATGATTAATATTATAGGCTGATTAAAATATTTTATAAGATCAAATACTCATATATATATATATATATATATATATATATATATATATATATATATATATATATATATATATATATATATATATATATATATATATATATATATATATATATATATATATATATATATATATATATATATATATATATATATATAAGTTTAGTACCTTCCTTAATCGTTGTAAATGGACTTCATTCATGTATATTAAAGTGAAAATTTTCCTTATAGCAAGACTCTAACGAAGTGGTTTATTTCCTTTTTTTTCTTTTTGTCTTTGCCCTTTATTCATTACATTTAATATTACATATAATAGTTTTCACATTATCGGCTTTTTTCAAGGTCAGCTAAATGTAGAGTCAATGAAGATTTGACTATGTGCTTTCTTGATCGAGCAGCAAACAAACACGACGTGCACTAAAAGATATGATTTATTGATCGCGACCTATATACAAATGCGTAAGGGTTCCATAAGGGAAAACGTTTGGGAAATTTTATATAAGATTCCGTAATAAGTGCAGCATCGTCGGTAACCCATGGGTGATTCACATCAATTCTCTGTATCATCCTTTTTGGACTCAAAATCGTGGTTGCGACGATGTAAGCGCAGCATAGTTTGACTTTCAGACTTAAAAGAACTTTTACAATTGATTTTTTGAAATGAAATCTTAGCTACTCAAACTGATACTATATAGAATTTTAAAAATATTTTGCTGTTCAACCGTCCAAAAATATTCTTAATTAAAAGAGATCTCTAATCAAAGTACTCAAATGTATATTTACATAGTACGGAACAAAGACCCTTTTACATGAAAAATTTATGTACATTGTGATAGCAGATTAATAACAAGAAGTTCAGAACTGTAAGAATATATCTAAGCATTGACATTATTTTTTGAAAGATGTAGTCTCATAACTGTAACGGTGTGTACAAACAAATTGAGTAACGCTCGTTAGCGCGTTATAAAAATTTGCTTGGACACACCGTTGCAGTTATGAGACATCTTTCAAAAACAATGTCAATGCTTATATTTACATTTTCGAACTCCTTGTCTTGTCTGCAAAATTTATATTTCAAAATCCCCATATTATCCTTCGTATTAATGGAAGTTGCAAGAGCTACTACCGTAAGACTGTTCACTGTAAGCGTGAATTTTGATTTTCGCTTATGACCTTGCACGGCGTTCAACGTTTGTGACGTCATAATCAAAAACATACTTTTATCTTTGACCTCCCCGTCCATGGTATGGTGTTTTGCATGCCATAGCTTCCCACACATTTTATAAGCAAAATACATGTGGAATGTAAATATAACACAAAAGTATGTTTCTTTGGAATATAACATATAAAATGTCAAAAGTTGAATTAAAATTTAGTTGAACTTTAGCAGCAGAACTATCAATATATCAGATGTCTCGTTCTTGCCTCTGATATCACTTCCAAAAGTAAACAAACATTGCAGTAAGCTCAGAAGTTGGCTCACAGATGAGACCTCAGCGGGGAGTTTTGCTTTACCTCGGGTCACGTGCTCCCAGTATGTGTGTTGACCTGGTAACACAACCTCTATTTATAGAATATGACAGAGGGACCTGATAAAAATCTTTCGCATATTTTACACAATTATAAATCATTTGAAAAACATGGGTGAATTAATGTCTGTATAGAAAAATCCTCAAATTACTTTACTTTGTTTGATATTTGATTTAGTGTTTGAGTTATCTCAACAGTGGTTCAGAGTACGCACTATATTTCTAAGCATTTAATTTGGGTGTGAAGAGTCAGGATATCCGTTTGAACACCGTGACAAAAGCCGGTGTAAAGACGACCCCTTAGAAAATTGACTGGAGGTCATTTTTTTGACGTCGAAAAATGACTCTAAGGGCATTATCTGACGTCGAAAATGACCCTTTTGCCTGTAGGAAAAATGGCATCACCCTTAAAATCTGTATAACCTACGTGAAGGAAAATGACCCTCGTAGAATAATGACCACTTATAGATTTATTTAGGGATAATTTTTTCTTTTAAGTTAAAAAGATTAAAAGTTATAAATCAAGAGGCCCGTGGACCAAAATGCTCACCTGAGGTAATTGAGGATATAGCGATGATCTCTTGGTCTCATTAAATCTTTCAATGTCTTTTAATAAATTGTCAGCATTAATGGACTTCAAACTACACTACATGTATGTGGAAATGCTTTCATATTGATTTAACTAATGTATCATTGTTTTAAAGAAGATTCATATTTATTTTTCGCATATCTCTTATATATATATATATATATATAAAGAGAGAGAGAGAGAGAGAGAGAATAGTATATAATGTCTATCTACCGGTTAGTTTTAAAAGTTGCGTCCGAATATCTATTTTTTTTTTTTAAGTCAATGATTTAAACAGTGTACATACATGTAATTTTCGGACATATAGCAAAAGTATCTTGCAATATGAATAAGAACTTTGTGATGTTTCAGAAACTTTCGTAGATGTTCATTAAAACCGAAAGAACAAGCATTAATTAACTATCCTGTGTCAAACAAAAATTTTGATGCAAGCAATTTTAACCTAAACTGCGAGGAAACTTCCATGAAATCCCAGAAACCGCAAATAGTATTAATAAGAAAAACTTGATCACATATCTACAAATGTATATCTCGTAACCAACTTGATCCGTGTCATTTATACATGTACCATCTTTGATTTGATGCTCTCTTTTTTCAGAGAAAAGTTTGTCCAAAGAAAAAATATCAAATCTGTTCGAACATGTAATGAAAATGTAATTTCGCTAAATTATCCAAGTAAATACCCAATTTGTCCGAATAATTCCGAACAAAAACAATTTAATCTACTTTCTTCTAGCGCAAGAGTATACTTAATTCGTCCGAAGAAAGAACTTCTTTATCCACACAAATATTTTGTACGTCCCAAAGAAGAACTAACTTGTCAGAACTATTATCTTTTTGTCAGAACAAATATTTAATTCGTCCAAACAATTATTTTTTTTCTGGGCTTCAACGGCACCATACTATCACATTATATTCTGTATTTAGAAAAGTTATTGCCTTGACGAATTTTTGTAAATTTGTTAAAGTCATAAAGATTCTAAATTACAAAATGTGTTTACTAACAAATCATTATAATAAAATAGGAATTTTCATAATGATTACTTTAAATGAGACTGTTGAAAGCCCTGTATCATCAACTTATTTGTCAGTATCCTGCCTCTGTTTTAAAGTTGATTGTACTCAGACTCCTCTAGTGTACCGAATAAGTTGGGAGACGTAAATACGATATGCAGTTGATAGTGGAATATTACGAAATAAATACTCATAAAAAGTTGGCGATGGAAAAGCCGATTCTAAAGTCATCCCGTTTTGATATAGTCTAGTTGTTAGTTGGCCATAAACAGCAAGATATTGAAATATGAAAAAGATGTTAAAAAAAAAGATTAAGATTAGAATCTTTCCTTTTGCAAGCAATAGACATACACAATGATCACCTCCCGGAAGAAAAAATCTTGTTCTGTACACGTTAGATAACTCGTTAGTTGTGCGAAAAAGTTTATCCAACCGTTTCCATGGTAATGGGAACAATTTTAAAAATCTTAAATATAAATTCATTTGTGAAGTTTCATAAGGATTTTCCAAGCCAACAGTGAGAACATCCGTTGATTAAATCTGTCCTTTTTTGTTCCCATGGCAACAGTGGTAAGTTTGAAAAAACAAAATATTAAATGAACATCTAGAGTTGCTAATCATCATTTCTGAAAAGTTTCATTATGTTTGTCCGAGTCATCTCAAAGAAAATGCTCGGACAAAATAATAGGTCAAGAGATAACAATATGTCGTCCTGATTTACATTCTTGACGTCACAAGAACAGCTTCAACTAATAGCCACTTTGACGTATCTATTGTGAAATTTTAATTGTGTGCTGAGAACGCAATATGTATAATAAATAGAAACACATGACACATGTAATGCTGTTAAATACATTTTAATTGCGTGTTTGTCCAGTGTTAATCAGAAAACGTAAGAGAATTACCCGTTGAGACCCAGCTCCCGGCATCAATCATCTCTTTTAAACTTTGTATCACTCTGTTGGAACGGGGGGTCATTTTTCAACAGCGGTCAATTTCTTATAGGTTGCACATGTAGAAAACTGGTCTTGGTTCTTTTTCTACAAAAAATTACATGTTCTACGACTAGGGGGTCATTATTCTTCTTTATACCCGCTTTTGTTCAACGTGCAATGAGCCTGGCTAAAAATCATATAACATGACAAAAATCTTGCCAGGAAAGAGGAAAGCAATTATATTTTTGGATTCAAATTGTTATTTATTATAAAATTAATATTGCTTAATCTTGCTGAAACTTTTAAAGAAGCATGATCGTGGATTTTATTCCCACTCGATCTTTTCCCCTCCAACTTTTTCTAAGGGATGATTGAAAAAATTTGGAAAAATGTTCTAAACACTGATGGTAATTCAAATTGTTAATAGATGATGCAGCGAAACAATAAACTTTTTTTTAGAATTAGCTGCCTTTGTTTTCCATTGGTTTCAAATGTTTTGATTTTTTGATTATTTTTGAAAGTGTTCTGTAATATAATGGATTTTTTGGGTCAAATTATTCAAAGTTTTAATCAACAAAAAACACATTTAGCTAAACTATTCTTATGTTTAAGGGGGTCTGTGGTATTACACAGAAGAGGCCACCGATGGTCAAGCTTGTGTGATGAAATCCACAATTATCAACACTAGTAAGGAGATGATGACGTACAGTGACTTCCCAATACCCAAGGAATACCCTATCTACATGCATAACAAATACGTCCTCAAGTATTTTAACTTGTATGCGGATAATTTTGACCTTAGAAAATACATAAGGTTCAAAACAGAGGTATTATCCTAGAAATTAATCATTTTCCTTTTCTAACTTATAGAAATAAATTCAATTTTCAGTACGTTTATTAATTGATTCTGTTAACGTTGTTGTTGTTTCTTTATGTGTTATTATAGGTGACATCAGTAAGCAGGAGTCCAGACTTTAACACATCTGGGCAATGGAACATTACAACAAAAGATTTAACAACAGGAGAAACTAAAGAACACGTGTTTGATGCCGTCATGGTGTGCACTGGTCATCATGCTGACAAAAATATTCCAGAATTTCCCGGAATATCAACTTATAATAAAACATTCCTTTTTATTGGTAAATGTTTGGGAATATAGGATTGAAATTTTGGTCCATCTTTGACAGTGCATCTCATCATATAACTCGTTATGTTCATGTAACCGATGATTATATATATATAATTCTTATCCAAATTTTAGTACCCATATTTGATTAACGCCACTTCTCGATATGTTGTACAGTACTGCTTACGTTTCTCCTTCACTTCTGTAAATATCTAATTACTTCGTATGAATTAAAAAAAAACAGGTCTGCAGATAACAGGACCCAATTAGTACCCATTGGAATTCCAACAGATTGGTGGAAAACTTGATCTCCCAAAACTACATAGATATTGTCAATCAGAAACTCAAGAATCTTTTTAATTTCAACTTCGAAGTACGTACGTACTAGTATGTGTAGAATCAGAATGTTTTTAACAAAATAAGTTTGCAGATGACCATAATAGTATATTCAGATTTATAAGTTTCATTATTATTGAAAAACAGCTGTCTATGATGCCAAAAAGCCTTTAATTTATCGTGGGGAATGGTTGTATAAAAGTCGCACGTTTTGATGCTATTGAATTTGGTAAAATGTCGTAATTTCAAATTTTCTAAAAGTTTCTTTGAGTTATTAAGTATCCACAACTTCTCAAATATGTTGTCGTACAGTACTCCTGGAGTTTCTCCTTCACTACTGTTCTTATTTTCGTGAGGAGTAAAGAAAGAGTCTTGGTAGAACATTTTCTATAACCCGCTATATATCTTTGCTTGTAAGGATTTTATGTAGTTTAGGAATCCATTATAAATATGATAATTCAAACTCAATTTGATTGTTGGGAACATTAAAGATATTTAAAACTGACATATGGTTTTGAAGAATTTTCTTCTTTGAAATGGAATGAGTACAAGTTGGATTACCACTTGCAGAAATTTATCCAAGTTCCTCTAAAATACATTTATAATAATTTACACACAGGACAATTTGTTACCTGCTTTGCCATTTGGGACCAGTATACATACTAGTATTGATAGTGTTATCTATCTAATTCTTTTTTCAGTTCTGAAGTTCTGAAGTAATGAAGAAAGAAAGATAGATAGTTTTCATATTGTCCCCAACCATTTAATGCGATCCATTATGAAAAAGTGTCAAAGTCTTCTTTCTCATGCTTGGTCCATCGCCTGGCGTAATCTTCGACAGAATTCATAATATTTATGAAATTTTGACGCCAATTGAAAGATCGGGGTTCCCTAAATTTTGGCCTTTTCAAAGTAAGTGACTATTTAATTAAGGTCCTCATTATTAATTATATTTACGTCACCAGTAATGACATGTTTTGCAGTATTATACTTCGTAGTTTATTTTGTAATTAAAGAGTTTGAAAGCAATAGTCGATAAATATTTCTAAGAAATACATGGTGTGGACTTCAATTTGAAATCTGGTGGAATACAAGACTGGAACCTTTTGTGATTAAGAATATTACTATTATTTTCTGTGTCAATTCCTTTGTTGGTAAATTTAATTTTTAAGGAAACATATGGGTTACTTGAGCAGTTTTTTGTCTGTAAAAGTGGCGGTTTAAAAAGCCTGTGATTTGCAAAATATCCATAATCCAAGATCCATGTCTATATTTTGGTGTCGAAGAATCCAAATAAGGACTTTCCTTCGCCCTTTCAAATAGGCCATTTAAAATTTTCAAAGAGACATAGTAAAGTTTTGTGCGGATGTGAGGAAGATCTTACTTTTTATTTATATAAGGTTGTAGTGAATCAGGAGATGCATCATGTATAAAAGTTTATTGTAAGACCGGTCTCCATGACCTCTGTGTATTGTTAAAAGGTCCCATCACATTCACATTAGCACACTGTGGACTTGAAAGATTCCAAACACCATCGGAATTGTCATTGCTACTATATATGGAAAAGTCGTGCATAGTTTCCTAATCCAGTATTCTCGTTGTCTACTGATAGGTGTACTCAATGATGGGCTATCAATATGATGATAAATGACTACTCTATGATAAAAGAAACTCTTGTGAATGGAAGTTAGATTGATAATACTCAAAAAGCTTATGCTTTCGTATTTTCTTGTGAGAACCTTAAAACAATTAGCTATAGAGAAGATGATATTGATTTTGTTGATGAATACAAGTATTTGGGTGTTGTCCTAAAAATAATAGCATGTTGATATATGCATGTGCGAATTTAACAGGTAAGGCAAGAAAGGCATATTTCACTATCAAATCAAATCTACCAAACAAACTCAGTCTCTCTGGAAAGATTCAATTTAGATTCAATTTAAGATATTTTATTAAAATAAAACAATTTTAAATTGGTGATATCAAAATTTATTTCATGATATTACAAAAATATTACTCTGTTACCAAAGCATACCAGTTAATTTTTAGTATCAAAAAGCACTTAAAAAATTGTATTTTTTTCATATTAAAAAAAACACCACCATTTACTGATATCAAAAATACTAAAACGGCGTTTTATACAAACCTGATCGTTGGTTATGTTATGGATATGAACATAATCAGCATGATACTGGAGATACCCTGGCTCTTCCTGTACGGAGGGGGTCAAAAGTTCACAGGTCAGCTGGCGTTTGTTGAAATTAACAGCCTTACAATCACTGTTATAAGAACACATGCGCACACACATCTTCTTGCCAAACAAATCCATAGTTTTAAGAACACTTTCTCCTAACTTCGAGTTTTCAATTGTTATTGAAGTTTCTGCTTTAAATACTCCTGAGAAACCAAGGAGAAGAGCAAATATAAACTTGAGAGACATACCACTTTTCGTGTTTTTGTTTAATTTTTTGTAGAATTTACATTTTAATACTTCGCGTACTGACGAGATTTTTTGCCGCGACTTTGTCCAAAAGTCGATTAAACACCAGGATAACCACGTTTAATGTTGAAAGCATTGCCTGAAATGTATTCATTGAATCTTTCTGTATGGAGAACAGATTCGGAAATTTAAATAAAAATAAAATAGTTATCCGTGATCAATTTTTTTCTAGACACTGGCGATCCTTTGCCTAATTGATATCATTGATTCCCATTATCTACACATAAAAAATCAAGGCTAAATCTGATAACATTACAATAACGTTTGTTTTTCTCCATCAATGAATTTATATGGTAGACACCGTTGCCATTCACAAAGTAGTTGCTCGAAAAGCTAACCAAATATGTCATATTGATGATTTCCAATACATTTTGCAAAGGATCAAAGGGTGAAATTGTTTCCCGTTTTTCGTGCATTCATTATCTGTCTGGTCTGGCGAAATTTTTCCATACATAAAATTTAGCAATAAAAAGTGCATTCAAAAATCGGATGTACTGCAAGAAAGGAGAATTGTATTGAAAGGATTTAACAGAATCTTCTCTAGAACAGAAGGAAATGCTATTTATTTAAAAAAACTGACACAGAATTAAATGTATGATCGTTATCTCCATATTTCATGATAGCTACGGGTTTGCCACTAAATTATTGTATTTAAAAGTTGAACGTGTAAAATTTTCATTACGTGCAAGGGTGGAAGCACCATAATTGATCATATAAGATACATGTATCAGCTTCTCTTATTGATATAATGCGACTACCGAAAAATCTATAGATTGTTTATTTCTAGTTTTTGATTCCTGATCAAATTTTACTTCCAGATGGAAATTTGGAAGACCTCGGAAAATAAAGGGGACATGCTAATACACATAGTATTCAGTCTTCAGTTTAAACACTCTAGTTACCTCATTTTTAAGTTTAACGTTACTGGAGATCAGAAGAGCTAGCTTAAACCATGGTAAGGTGTTTTTATTGTTACGGATTTCAACAATGTTGCCATGGGCATAAAAAATATTTTTTTTCATGTTTTTTGTTTTGATCCGATTTCAATAAAACTTGGCAAAAAGTAGATCTAGAATACGGTATATAATTCTATGTATCGGTTTTTGGTTTTGATTGCCGGTGTCGCCATATACTAAAAATTGAAATTTCTGGGAATTTTTTTTTAAAAGGCTACTTCTCTGCATTATTAATCACGGCGGGTATCTCATCCTGGGCACATGATCACACCTCTGGAATTTCCAGGGGTCCATATTTTGTGCCCTCTTCGCAGGATTGTATAGTTTATAGATTTTTTTGAGATCCGTCACTGTTTTCTGCCTTTTTCAGATTACAATGAAACTTGAAACAAAAAGATACCTTACCGGTGATCATATTTCATTTTATTGGTGTTCCCAAAATTTTAAGTTTAAGTGCTACTCGTTGAAACCGCACAAACACTAAAATGCTACAAACAAACTAACGAAATATGAGGATAACGAACAGTAATCAAGCTCAAGGTCATTCGGAACAATGCATATTTCGAGCTGAGCAAACAAGGGTCTATAAAAAAAATAAACATCAGAGGTGGAATCAAGTCCCATGGAGGAGTAAGCATCTCCTGTTGACCGGTCACATCCGCCTTGACTGATAATGCAGAAATATAGCCTGTAAAAAAATTCACAGAAATTTCAATTCCCCAGTCACACCCGCCGTATGCTCCTTGTAATGATCTGGTAGAGGGAATTCATGGATATTACAGTGTTAAATACTTGTCTAACAATTGGTATGAAAAACTTCAGTCAACATTCGACTTAAGGATAGAATGTATTTGCTAAGAATGTAATTGTATCGGGCATAGAATTTGCGAAATATTGATGAAACAAGACTGACGTCCTTGTTTCATCAACTACATGTAACTAGTATTTTTCCATAGCGTACCTCGCTTTAGTAATTGTTCATGCTTTTGCGAATCAAATCAATTGGTAGACATAAACTCCATATAAAGATGAAAGGAAGGGAAATTGACGATAGAAAAGTTGAGGTCATCACGTTTTAGCAGAGTTTAGTTGTTAATTTGCCATTAATATCTTTCTCTAGTTTGTTTTTGTTTATTGTTTAACGTCCCTCTCGAGAATTTTTCACTCATATGGAGACGCCACCACTTGCCAGTGGAGGGCTGCAAATTTATACATGTACAAGTAACTATATTCACGTCACCAGTTATGACGTGTCCAGCAGGACTATAGTTGTGGGAGAAGAAGAACATGAACACGTAGGAAGATTGTTTCAGATGTTCAATGTCTAGACACCGCAAAGCTTTTTTGTAATTAAAAAATTTTGTGAAGTTATAGTCGATGAATATTTGTAAGAAATACAAAGTGTGGACTTCAACTTGAAATTTGGTGGAATACAAGACTGAATCCTATAGTAATTAAGAATGTTTCTCATATTTACTGCATCCATTAAGATTTTGGTTGGCCCCCACTTTCTGTCGCTGTAGGATCGAACACTCCTTTTTTCTTTTTTTTTTTGATTGTCAGAATATATTGGGAAGTTGCCCCCCTCCCAACCTCCATGTGTTGGACCGTTTGTGTCGTTTAAATTTTTGTTTGCTTGTTAGAATGTTTTGGGAGGTTGTCCCCCCTCCCCTTTTTTGAAGCCGTTGCTACGGGCCTGGCATCAGTTCCATTGTTGGCAAATTTAAGTTGATTCTTAAACTGATAAACAGAATAATGAGTTTGGTTCAGTCTAATTGTGTACCCCATTCATTGATATCAAAAACTGAAAGCAGAATTATGTTCAAAAAGCGTAATACAAAATTATGTATATTGCTATAGTCTACTTGTACACCAAGACTTATTAAAATCAGACCAAAACTGTTTAATTGAGGAGTAGCATATTGAAAGAATTTTCAAGAGATTTCTATTTCTAAAAATATGCTGTTGTCATATACATAAGTTCCTAGGTTTCCAATGGTTTATGATTAATAAGAGTTAAAGTGTTCATTATTTGTTTATTTTCTATTTCAGTGTAAAATGTTTTAAATTGCCCCATTTCTATAAAGCATATGCATTTCCTTCTTAGGACTGTATACGATTTTCGTGTTTATATCAATAGCCAACAATGCAATAAGCGGTCTCTTTTATGAACTCGCACATTTAATTAACAATGATTAGACGTACTTCTAAGTTCTAAAGAACTGAGTAGGATTTTTTATTACACATAAAAAGTGGAAACGCCATTGATCATAAGGCGTCAATTGGTTTCTTACCTAAAAAAGTGTGACTACCAACAGATTAAAGCTTTCATTTTGAACACTTGATTCCTTATCAGATTTGAACTGAATAAATAAAACGTTCTGAAAAAGCTTGTTTAATGACTTGGGTATTATAGGACAAGTTCATTCAATTCAGTTAGTTATATTAAAACCGCAGGAATTCCAGATTTCTTCCAGAGAATCAAAGGTAACATTACCAATACATTACATTAACATTACTGGTTCAGGAATTAAAAATTCAATGTACTCAACTCACTTTGCAAATTTGACTACATTTAGTATCAATTTTTGTCGGAATTCTATTTCTTTTCATTACTTGGGGTGCCCATCCCCCCCCCCCCCAAGGATAGAATCTACTTTTTGGTCTCGATATTATCTACGAGTAGTTTAGATTCGCTTGGAATGATTTGTCTAAAAAGGAGCGATTGTCACAACTAAGAATTTGGAAAATAAAAGAAAAATACGACATATGTGCAAATACTACTATAGAGACCACAGACCCTTAAATCGCTTTAAAAAAATTAAGGTGTTAAAAAAAATAAAGGTATGGAACTCCTTTCATAGGGTACCCACATTTGCCAATAAAATACTTTTAAATCAATTGATCTATAACTTTACTTTCTATTCATAACTATTCACATATAAACAATCTACGTTACTACCAGTTCTTCCCGAAATTCCGTATACATGTACTTCCCGAGATATGCTGAAATCATTTTCCAAAATTGACCTTATTTTTTTTACTCTACATTAGCTTGGGCCTCTGAATCAAACTCCATACAGTGTCAATTCTCCGGGACTACTTTCCCTAGGAATAATTATATGGAGTTGTAGCGTAAAGTAATACTGGGCTGTCTGGAGCTTGCATCTGAATAGTTGCACTAATTGTAAAGCTTTCACATAAGATTTTTCTTTTCTGGCAAAGTGGTTCTTAAAAGCAAGATTTTTTAAAGATGCTTCTATACCCTATTCTTAGCTTTTTTTTTTTTTTTTTTTTTTTTTTTTACCTCGGAGTCCTCTTTTAAGGTGACATGGCCCTTCATTTAATCAATTAAGAAGGCCAACTTAATTCTTTGTTGTCTTATTCAGTATTAGCGATATCTCTGAAGAACACCAAGATCACATTTCTTCCACAGAAATGTTATATCAGTTACCTGATCAAGTGCAATCAGGGGTCCGCAGTCCACTCATGGCCGTTGGACCCCTGATAAATTTCATCGGATATACTAGTATTACGGGCTTGCTTTTCTCATTGATAAGAACCTTAAAAGGCTGCAAATTTTGGTGGCTTCAAGAATGGGGTTATAAATCAAAAAAAAAAAAAAGGAAAAGAAAAAAAAGGCAAAGTTCACAAAAATTGTCATGGTGCTGGTTTTAATGACAGAAAATATGAGTAAACATACAACAAGATTGATCAAGTGAATAAACAATATCAGGTAACTATCACAGATTATGCAACATCACAGAATTCTATAACATGTTGAAAGCCCTATGTACAATAACAAATTGGAGAATTCCTAAATAAAACTACATGTATATAAAACATTAAAGGTAAAACTTCCTCCTCAGATACAGAATTATGTTTCTTAGTGCAGTCAATGTGTGTAAAAAGATCAACTAAAATTAGATGAACAATATTTTTTAAAAAAATTATAGAGTTTATTCTACTACTATAAAAAAATAAATGAGTAAAAAAAAAATCAAAATTAAAACAAAGAACTATGCAGAGAATTATTATCATAATGTGGTCTACTTGAAAAAAAAATCATATCAAAACTGTAGGAGAAGTTATTTTTCCAAGAACTTCATAGATTAACTCTAATATTAATAACCATAACAACATGAACAATGTTCATCAATGTCAAAAAGCCATATTTTGTCTAAGTGTGTCTAAATTAGACTACTACTTTACCAAATTTTATTGAAATTGGACCAAAAGTGTAGAAAAGTAGCATTTGAAAATATTTTTTACAAAGTAATCTATTTTCAGTTTTTTGCTTATTGACAGAAATGAAAATGCAATATAGAAAAGTCTGTTCAATTTACTGAAATTGGACCAAAACTGTAGGAGGAATAGTATTTTGAAAATTTGTTTATGGACAGTGAGAAAGATGGCAGAAGTTACATAATCAAAACATAAGCTCTACTTTTCTTCAACCAGTGGAGCTAAAAGATGAAAAAAATATAAAATAAACCAAAGTCTCTGTAGCTCTACTGGTTTGTTCTCAAGTTACATGTAAAAAAGAGAGAAGCAGCATCTGGACTTGAAACTAAGCAGCAATGGTAACACCAGTGAATAAATGTGACATCTTACATGTATATTCCTTGTGTTGATAATTATAACAAGTACTAATTAATTTGAACTGAGTTAAAACATATCTCTTGTTCTGGTTCATCAAGAAGAAAAAAAAAGCCACTTAACTCTAATTTTTTTTACCAAATGTAAAAATTACCTTTGTGTAAATGCATGGTCTATTATACACAAAATATGCATGTATTCTATATAAATTTTTCAAAAAATTTTATAGAAAGTGTTGAATTTGAATCTCCCCTTTGATTAGGCAGGTAAGGTGATAGTTCCAAGTATATCACTGTAATCTCCACCAGCTGTTATGGCACGAACAATCATGTAGACCTTGAGTCGTGAAGTACCAGTCACCGATTCTGGTAGTCCAAATGTTATACTAGTGGCACGGGTCTCTTGCCATTGGATGATGTTACCCCCACCCAATGCAGTTCCAGCTGATACTTCAAACCTCAGTGGATGACTGGAGGTAAAAATTCCATCCCATGATACAACAAATTCTTTGTTTCCATCATGCCACGTTAAAGAGAGTTGTTTAGAAGCTACAAAGAAAGGGGATATTTTTAAAATAATTCTACTAGTTGCAAACATTTAATTTTTTTCTTCAAGGTACACACATTCATATAAAGAGAAAAAAAGAAATGTCTGCATGTAAATCAGGTAAATAAATACCAGTATTTAACATTTTGTCCCTGAGGCCATGATTTAAAAAAATTTTGTCTGCTGTACGCCATCCCCCATTTTTCAAGGTGCATTGGTAGGTAGTTTTTTTAAAGTACCTACAACAACGCTAATTGTCATTATAACCACATACTTGGAAAAAATTATTGATGTTTTCATAAAATATAAAATGTAAGTAAAAGGACAGCTTTTATTGCAATAAAAGCCTTAACATTAAAAAGAATCTTTGAAAAATGATAAAACTTATTTAAAAAATATACAATCTGCATTTCCCTGTAAACAAAACAAAAAATTAAATTATATGTCTGAAAAAAAGAGGATCAAGTTGGGATGATTTTGATGGGTCAGAGGGAGTACATCAAACAAATCAATTTTTATTGTTGGCCTGAATAGATGGATTTGTGAAAACAACATCTGTCTTTCAACAACCTGAAGCATACTTTTATCTCAGATTCTAGAGAAAAATCAAGATGTTGTCTTTAATAAAATGCTAAAATGGAGGACTACTGATGCATGTGAGTACTCTCCCTCAATCTATGCTGCCTTATTATTCTCTTCTGTGAACTTGTGTAAACATACATGTATGTATTCTTGAGCTCATTATTGTAGAAAAAAAAAATCGTGTTATAATGCGAAACTTTCGTGAATAAAAAGGAACTTTCACATTATAAAGCAAACATATGTATGTTCTCATCCACACTCAAGATGGAGGGAACATTAAAATAAATCACAGTAAGAATTAGACTTTTTTTTTTAGGGGGTAATGGATGGTGAGGGTTGTAAAGCCAAAATATATACGGTTACAGGAGATACTGTTTTTCATTTTTAAACTTGCACTCACCATCTTTCATGGGCTTGTCTGTAACCACAGTCAGATTATAATGAAGAGGGATGCTGCGCTCCAGAAGTTTATTTATAGCCTGTAGCGTAACATTTGTTTGTCCTTGACCAAGGTCAACATTTCTTACACTGGCAAAGAGCACGTCTTGAGCATCAGAAAACGAAAGTCCCTCACCATCCAAATTATACTTGTTGCTATTCACGGATATCTACAAAGAAAAATTTAAAACATTTTAGTCAGTTTTAGCTACTATATACCCTAACATAAACCATCACATTCCCCCTTCCTTAAAGGTCTTTGCTTTTTGGTGATAACATTTTGGGTCAGCAAAAGTAACCAGAGGAGTATCATCAGAAATCCACAGTTGCTTAAGCTTCATTCCTCTCCTTATCAACCATGGGTTCATGCATACCACTTTGCTTGTTCTCACGAATGTTTGAATTTACTGTCCAATCAAATTAATCAAAGAGGGAAAGGGCCACCTATTCTTTAACATTAACTAGCTATCAACAAGATGTGTTTGTGAAACACTGATGCCCCCGTATGGCAGCTTATGGCAAAGGTTAAAGTTTCTCAAATGCAAGTCAAAATCCAGGTCAAAAGATAAAAAAGTTGGTACCCAAAGAAAAGTCTTGTCTCGAGGAATATACCTGTGAAATTTGAAAGCCCTAGCTGCAACTGTTCAAAAGTTATGTCCAAGGTTAAAGTTTTTTAAAAGTAAGTAAAAAGTCAAGGTCAAGGTCAAAGTGGTTGGTATCCAAAGGAAGGTCTTGTCACAAGGATTACATATGTGAAGTATGAAAGCCCTAGCACCAACCATTCAAAAGTTATGGCCAAGGTTAAAGTTTTTCAAAAGTAGGTCAAACTCCTATGTCAAGGTCAAAGGGTCAAAGTGGTTGGTATCCAAAGGAAGGTGATGTCACCAGGATTACATACAGTGGCTGCAATGTTGTTGTTGACAACTTACACGAACGATCACGTTACATGAACGATTCCGCACGATTAATGCATGATAAAATCTGTTACACGAAAGATCCTTCACGCACAAGATTCTACATGTTACATGATCTTACACGATAGCTAACACAAAAACAATTCTTCACGCAAAATAGTTCAAATTCTTTAGGAATGGATATTTTCAAAATAAAATAAGGCTTAATACTTATTTTAAATTTCAAATAGTTATTGAATGATATTATTTCATCGACTTTGAAAAATGAAAAAAAATAAAAAATAGAAATGGATATTTCTGGAACTAAATACATGTAAGACTTATTTTAGATTACAAATAATTATTCACGTAATAAAACTGATTTTTTCCCCCCTTCTATCAGAAGATGTACATGTAGGTGGACTGTGAATTTTGATTGAATTGGATTTCAAAATATGCAGAAAGGGATAAGTTTGAAAAAAAAATGGCATGAAAATGAATTAAATTATAAGTTATATCCATGTTTCCATCTGTGAATCTCTAAAATCAAAATTATTTTACAAATCATTTTTTTGTAGAAATTATAAAATAAAAATAAATAAAAGTAAGCTCCAGAGAGAAACACTGATAAACGAAACCCCAACAATCATGTCATGTACATGTACATTCACTGACTAAATATTTATGTAAGCATTTAGAATTGTTTATTTATTGTAAAAATATCTATTTTTGATCTATTGATTTTAAAAATATCATAACCATAATTTGCAGTAAACATAATTAATATCAGAGAAAAAATCCTTAAACATCTAAGTACGGTTTATCACAAAAAAATCACGCTATTTGATGAGAACACAATATTGTTCGACTTACTACATTGCTTATTTCCAAGCGATAATTAGTTCATTCTGCTTTCAATTATGTAAATCGCGCTTCATTTATTTTATTTGGATTAAAAAAAAGACAAGCGAAATGCTTCTATAACAAATAACATTTCGATAAAAACTTACAAAACGAAATTTACATGTTTCTTAATGCAGGATCACGCACGATTAAAAACGCAAACGATTGAGTCTAATACATGCACAATCTCGCATCTTACACGAATGATCATGCACGTTGCACAAACGATTCTACACGACTGGTTTGTCAACAATAATGTTGCAGCCACTGTATATGAAGTATGAAAGCCCTAGCATCAACCATTCAAAAGTTATGGCCAAGGTTAAAGTTTTTCAAAAGTAGGTCAAACTCCTAGGTCAAGGTCAAAGGGTCAAAGAGGTTGATATCCAGAGGAAGGTCTTGTCACAAGGAATACACTAGTGAAGTTTGAAACCCCAAGCACCAACTGTTCAAAAGTTATGGCCAAGGTTCAAGTTTTTTCAAAAGTAGGTCAAACTCAAAGGTCAAGGTCAAAATGTCAAAGTTGTTGGTATTCAAAGGAAGGCCTTGTCACAAAGAATACACATGTGAAGTTTGAAACCCCAAACACCAACTGTTCAGAAGTTATGGCCAAGGTTAAAGTCTCATAAAATTTTGCAAAAGAGGGTCGAACTCCAAGGTCAAAAGGTCAAATATGATGGTACCCAAAGAAAGGTCTTGTCACAAGGAATACACATGTGAAATATGAAAGTCATAGCTCCAACCAATCAAAAGTTATGGGCAAGGTTAAGGTTGACAACAAACAGACACACAAAGACAAACAGACAGACAGGACAAAAACAATATACCCCCGGGATCTTTCGATCCCGGGGCATAAAAAACAATATGGCTGTGCCCAATGAAATTACATTTTCTATGCAAAAAATACATGACTGACCATAATATAGATCCCTGTCCTCAAACACAAGTCTGGAATATTACAGGGATGTGTTTTAATTATGTGCATTCCAAACTTCAAAGAATTTGCCTGAAACATGTGTGCCAAAAAGCTCAACCCTGTTCAAATATGAAAGAAAAAGCTTTGAAAGGAACTTACTGATTTCACAAATATTTTTTGGTTTTCCCAGTCTTTCCAGTGCAACCAATCAAACTGTCTCATTAACTATTCATGAGAACAAGTGAACAGGTGTGAATGGACCCACAAGTGATGATGGAGAAAGGAACAAAGCGTAATCAACCTGGTTTTTCAGAGGATGCCATTGGAAAAAAAATGCAGAAACTAGAAATGGATTACAACTCTGGACCCTCCTTTGGCCTGTAGGGGAGCTGAGCACCCTCCCCCAATAGTTTTGCCAGTATATACTTTACTATAGAAAACAAGGGTAATTTACAGTTGTGCCCCCTCAATAGTTTTGCAAGTAAAATACAATGCATTAGAAAATTGCCCTTGTGCCCCCTCAAAAATGACTGATGACCTTTTCTTTCTTTTTCTTTTTTGCTTGTCAAGAATTTCTGTTGGGTTGTGCCTCCCAAACTTAAATTTCATGCTTCGTACAGTCCTGCTCCTTTTACTGTAATAAACTATTTTATACAAGAGTCCTAAGTGATCAAAATGGTCAGACTTATTGTTCAGTTAGTTCTGAACTCTTACAAACCTTGTACTGCTGTACTCCAATCTTGTCTACCACTCCACTCCATACAATTCTCAGACTGTTGTCTATGCTCTGATAATAATCCATAGCTGGGTACTCTGTCACTGACAATGGTCGTGTCTGTATTACAGCGGAAGCCATTGATGGTGGCTGGTCAAATATGGTCACTCCGTTTGATGATAAACTGAACAGTAAGCCTGCTTTGTTCTGGCACTGTATTGTAGAGTATACAGTCTTCCCCTGAAGTAGGCTTGGATCAAAATCTTTGTAAGCTTTTCTGTCATCAATCTTGATTTTCTCAAAACTTTGTACTTCAATGCCTTTTGGTTGATAACCTATGAGAGAAACAACAAGCAGTATTTTAAATTAAACTCTTTTCATGTTCAAAATCTTTTGCTTATTTCTGTTTCAGATCTGCTTTTGTTTATCTGAACATTTCAATAACTAAAATATCTATATCCAAACCTACATAATCTCAATATACATGTATAACTCCTTTCTTAGTGAAAATTGTTGCCCACATTTGGGTTTCCTTTCTTTCCTTTCCCTGTAACTAATCATTACCTATAGCCCATTCACAGTATTCCAGACCAGATTCATCATCTGTCACTTTCCAGTTGACATACACAGTGTTCTCCTTCCAAGCATCAAGATCTTCTCCTGCAACATAGGGAATCAAGACTAGTGTAAACTTCTCTAATCATTCTAATAATGCCAATTGCTTGGGTAACAGGACATCCTTGCACAAAAAAAACTGCAAAACTAAAATCTATTCAGCTTAACAACCATGGTTATGTATAACAAAGAAACAATACAGTTCATTATTATTTTTGGCATGTTCAGGTAAATGTACAGCTTAATACCACTTTTATATCTCACTCAAAATACAAAATGTTCCATAATTTGAAAAGATAACTGCTTTTCATCAGTGTTAAAACTATATACCTAACAAATCACCATCTAGGACTTCTTCTATTCTGGGAGGGGTAAGGTCTACCAGAATTTTATCTGAATAAGAAACATCCTGTAAACCAGCTGAATTCTGGGCTATGGCAGTGATGTAAATATAGGAATCATGAGTCAGAGTCACTTGGGAGTTAAAAGCAAAGTTAGACAGTCCCACACTCTGGAAGTTCTGTAACTGTGTCCCTCCTCTTGTGTAGCCTAGAATATAAAATTTAAATCTTAAAAGGAATTCAAAAACAGAACTTCCTTGCACTTTTGGAGTATGTGAAAATTTTTATAAAAATACAACTTGTCATGAACAAAAAAGGTATTAAATTGTAAATGGACATTAAAACACAACAATAGGCCCAGGGGCCACATCGCTCACCTGAGCGCTCTGGCTAGGAAATGGCTTATGAATTGATATGACAAATATGCCCCTGTATTCTCCTGGGAGTCTTATTTTGAACAAATTTGAATCTACATCACCTAAGGATGCTTCCCTATAAATATGACCAATCATGGCTTTGCTGTTCTTGAGAAGAAGCGGATTCTCGTTATTTGTGTTTTGGAATTATTGGTGAATGTGAATATACAAGGATGCACTCCAATGACAATACCAGAATCAAAACTAAAAAATAGCTCGCTTCAAACTCTGGATTTGATCGGCCAGAAGATGTGTGTGCACCAGTGTTCTTATCACAGCGATTGTAAGGCTGTTAATTTCAACAAACGCCAGCTGACCTGTGAACTTTTGACCCTCAAATATGGGTACTAAAAAAGCTCAAAAGAAATTGAAGAAAATTTGAAATCAAAAAAGTTTGCCAAACTCAATAGCATCTAAACCTATTACTTTTCAGCATTAAGTACAATCATTTCTCACGTTAAATTAAAGACCTGGCATTTAGTCATCATAGAAAATGCTTCTTCAATAAATATGGAACTCACAAAAATTCATATTTTGTCAATGATATCTACAAACATACTTTGTTAAAAATCATTCTAATAATACACAGAAGTACCATGAGAATAAAATTAAAAAGATGCTCGGGTTCCTGATTGGCAATATCTATGTAGTCTCTGGAAACCAGGTCTTCTAACAAGCAGTTGGAATTTCCCTGGGCACTTCTTGTGCTTCTTAACTAGTAGTCTTTTATTCATATGAAGCAGAATTTATTAATAAACTACCACATGAAAACAAAAGAAATCTCCTGTTGTGCAGTTCTTGAAAGATGTTGAAACAAGAATATCAATAGTCTCGTTTAAAGTCAATATTTCGCAAATTCTATGGTCGATACGACCTTGTCAGCAAATACAATCTACATGATGTCGAATATTGACTGAAGTTTTTCATACAAATTGTTAGGCCATTATTTTCACACTGAATTGTCTACAGATTTTCCGTTTGCCCGATCATGACAAGGAGCTCATGTTGGGTGTGACTGTTCAACAGGGGATGCTTCCTCCTCTGTGGCACCTAATCCCTCCTCTGATGTTTTCAGGGGTCTGTGTTTGATATGCTCTCAATTTGTACTGTGTCTATAATAGATTCTACCTCCCATGTGGCACCTGATCGCGATTACTTAACTTAATGGAACTCTTTCGCGGTGAAGGTAGGAAACGTCTGTTAGCTGGGGGAATGTGCTGTTGCATTCAACGCGAGATCAAGAATTGTGGATTTTTAAAGGGCAGATATGAAAGAAGTGCTGGTGAAATATCTTGCGGAACATTCACTGAACCACGTTTATAAATTTTAAGAGAACCTAGTCCTCATGTGTTACATTTTCATTGATACTTTTTTTAGTAAGCCGACTCTTCTTATTAAATTCAAGCATTTCTTTCTGATTATCGTTACTTTTGGAAGCTGATAAAAAATTTTAAACATTCCAAATTAGACAACCTACTATTTGAAGTTCAACCCGTTGCAATACATAGTACTTTCGGCATACTAATTGTTCGAATTACCGTAAGTAATATTCATGCCCCGGAAATCTCGCGAGATTTACAGTTTCCTCGACTTCGCCGCAAAAGAGCGGCGTTAAGTTAGATAAATGTGAGGTAATCGCGATACAAAGTAGATGCTACCTCCCATGTGGCACCAGATCGCTCCTCTAATGTTTTCAGGGGTCTGTGTTTTTACTGCTCTCAGTTTGTACTTTTTAACATTTTATCTGCCATAGACGAAAATGTCGATCAATCAGTGTTAATTAATTATGGAAGAATTACTGATGTAATTGAGGCATGAATAACACAGTTTTCTTACATTATAACATTACCTATATTTTTATTTCTTTTCAGGCACGGTTGAAGCAGAAGCATTTTCAGTTTCAATTTTAGCGAAGAGTTTGATCTGAATGAAGACCAAAGGGGAACATACATTCATTTAACCATATAAATGTTATATGACTAATGAAAGTCAATAAATAAGTTGAATGTTTTTCATTGTTATCTTGAGCGTTACAATAATCCGTAAAAAAAACTTAACTTAAACCCACTATATTATTTTTTATTTTTTTTATTTTTCATTATTAATTTTTTTGTCTTCGTAAAATGTCTTTGATCATCACTTGAAACTAAACAGTCAATGGATGAAAAGTGGAATGTGTGATATTAGAAAATCTGTAGCAGAGTCCTTTTCAACACATTATCAGAATAGTATGGGGAGATCACTCTAAATTCTAGCATGTTATATATAAAACATGACAGGGCCGTTTTCTTATCTCAGATATTTTTTTTTTCTTATTGTAATGTACACGCAGGTGAGGTAAGAGATTTTTTAACGCAGCTGAAAATTCTTTTGAAAAATCTTTATTTAATCAAGGTTGTATTGAGCAGGAAGCCTAAAGATGGAAACTATGTAATAAGTTTTGCATTATCCGTTTTAACTACTTCAACTTAAATGTCATTGATTGTCTGTGTGTTTGCGTGGTTCTGCTTGATCCACTTTTGACAGCTTATGATGAAAAAGGTGCAGATAACGAACAATGATCGATCTAAAAATCTACAAACAATACAAATCTGTGAACATGGCATAAATCACGGAACCCCCCCCCCCTCCAGAAATTCCAGAGTTGGGATCAGGTTTTTAGGAGGAGTAAGCATCCCTGTTGACCAGTCACACCCGTCATGAGCCCTATGTATTGACCAGGTAGACAAGCATTCCGTAGTCAAACTTAGTATAAATTAAAACAATTGATATGAAACACACCAGCCTAAAAAACGACCCATTTATAGGTTATATTTGCTAACAAGGTCATTATAACGACCATAGAATTTACGAAATGCTGACTTTAAACGAGGTTGTTGAAATCCCTGTAACGTCAAATTATCTGTCAGGAGCCTGTCCCGGTTTAAAAATTGTTCGTACTCAGAGCATGTTCTTGAGTATCAAATAAGTTGAGAGACGTAAACCCAATATGCAGGTGTTAGCGGAATATTACTACACAAATAAGGAAAGTTGACAATGGAAAAGCTGAAGTCATCTCGTTTGTCATACAATTTACTTGTTAGTTGGCCCTTATCGTCTATAGTCAGACACTGTCTAAAGACACTCTGTGTTTTTTTTATTTCAAACCCACTTGGATATATACAGTCGACATGGAAGTAACTATTGTTAATTGATAAAACATCTATATATATGAATGTCGAGATGAAGGCCGCAGCATGTGTTCTCTTTTTCTCATGTGAAAATTTTTGAATGAATTCTGCTTCATAGGAATATAAAAACAGCTCGGCTAACAAAGGAGCATAATTAGTGCCCATCGGATTTCCAATTGTTTGTTGGAAGACCTGGACTCCGAAGACTACATTAATGTAAATAAGGAACTCCAGCATCCTTTAAATATCAACTTCAGATTCCTATTGTGTAGATCAGAGTGATTTTTAACAAAGTTATACTTTGCTGAACAATTCAAGATGCGAAAATTTCCGAGTTTCATTTTTAATTGAAAAAGCAGTTGTCTATGATATCAAAAAACCTAGTTTTTCATTTATCGTGAGGAATTGTTGTATAAAGTGTAGAAAATTCGTACGTTTTGATGTTATTGACTGTAGAAAACATTAGTGATTTTAAATTTTCTAAAAGTTCTTTGAAGTTTTTGAGAATGAACATCTGATTTACAGCACTTTTAGAATATGCTGTAGCACAGTACATTTGAAGTTTCCCCTTTACATTTTTTGTAAAGAGTAAATATAGGGGCTTGGTAGGGCATTTGCTGGACCGAGCAATGTATCTCTGTCTGTAAGGATTTTTATGAAGTTTAGGAATCCAGTATTTAGTATAGGTAGGGTAGATCGAACTCACCTTGGTTGACTGGAATGTTTATAGTATTGAACACTGAAATGTGATTTTGAAGAATTTCATCTTTAGAAAGTGAACTGCGAGTATAAGTTGGATTTCAAGACATAGACTTAAAACCAAGTTCTTCTAAAGTACAGTTATAATAATGAGTATTACAAACAAGGACAGTATTGTTACAAGGCTTGTCTGCTGGAACCATTACATTTTGGTCATGTAGTCTTTCTAATTCTTTTATCACCTCCGATTTAGTGTAAAAGTAAGGATAGATGGTTTCCATATTGTCCTTTGACTTTCTAATACGATTGTTTGATATATCTTTAAAACACTTAATCTTTCATACAATGTGTTCAGGTCTTCCCTTTCATATTCAGCTCAACGTCTGGCATAATCTTCGATAGAATTCAGAATTCTGTCGCCCGCGTGGCACAGTGGTTAGAGCGTTTGCTCTAGAGCTGCGAGTAAGGAGTTGATGCTCACGTCGCAGATTTGATTCCCAATACAGGACGTGGAGACCGGTCCTTCAAATGATACCTTATAAACCGAGTTCCCGTGTCACAGTAGGTGCTGACACAAAAAGATCCCTCACTGCTTAAAGACCGTAAGTACCGAGTACAGGTCTAAATTTGCAGCTCTCTACCGACATGTGGTGGCGTCTCAATATGAGTGGAAAAAAGTTAAAATACAAACAAACTTTCGCCAATCAAAAGATCGGGACTCTATGTATTTAGGACCTATTAAGATGATTGCTTTTAGGTCTTCATTTTCAACTATATTAATATCACCGATAATGTGTCCAGCGGGACTGTAGTTGAAAGAAGAAGAAGAGCAAGAACACTTAAGAGGATTTTGTTTTAGATGTTCAATATCAAGGCATTGTAAGATTTGTTTATAATTGAAAAGTTTGGAAGCAACAGTTTGGGAATATCTGTGGGAAATGCAGGATGTAGACTTCAAGTTGAAATACGGTGGAAAGCAAGACCTAACATTTTATGATTAAAAATGTTACTAATCTTCGCAACATCTATTTCTTTGATGGCAAATTTAAGTTTAAGGTACCAAAGGTTTGCATAAGAATTATCTTCTGACACAGGTGGTCGCATAAAGAGCACGTGCTGGACAACATCCATAATCAACAATACTAGCTTGTTTTCTTGAACAGTCTAAGTATGGACTTGCTATATCTTCTTCAAATTGCCCATTCAAAAAATTTCAAGGGAACTGAGTAAAGTTTAGTGCGAATGTGATGAAGAGCTAATTTTTTATTGATGTAAAGCAAAAGTTATCAAAAGACACATCATGTATATTTGTTCTATTGTATGATCGATATTCATGACTATGCATACGTCTAGGTGTATTGTTTAAAAGTACCATGACATTCATTTTGGCACATTGTGGATGAAATATATGGAGATAATGAACAGTATTCAAGCTCAAAAGTCCATTCAAACAATACAAACCAGGAGCAGAGCAAACACGGACCTCTAAAACATCAGAGGTGGGATCAGGTGCCATGGAGGAGTGAGCACTACCTGCAGACCGATCACACCCGCGTATGCTCCTTGTCATGATGGGGGAACAACGGGAAAATCCGTCGACAATTCAGTTGGTAAATAATGACCTAATGACCTAACAATTAGTATGAAAAACGTCAGTCAGCATTTGACTTAGTGATAGATTGTATTTGCTGACAAGGTCATTGCATCGACCATAGTACTTGAATGATGACTTTAAACGAGACTGTTGATATTTTTGTTTTATCAACTTGTTTGTCAATAACTTACCTTTTTTAGAGATTGTTCAAGAGCATGCTCTTGTGTATCGAATCAACTGAGAGATATAAACCCCAGTATTAGTCGGATGATATTTTTTTCCAGAATTCTAACCCTCATTTAAAGAATAGAGTGGCCAGGGAAGTTTGAAATGTTTATAAAGATGTTGATGCCCCCATTATTTATTACAAACCTATGCCACAACATCCTCTTATTAAGGTCAGACGACACTTTCCTCAATAGTATATAATTTTTTCCAAGAATTGTCATTGAAGCATTGCTACTATAACAAGTTACCTGACAAAAGATGAGGTACCCTACCAGGCATTTGTGCAAGATACCAGAGGATGTTATTTACTACATAATCCTATTGGAAATCACTAGCATTGGCAATATCACAATTTTTTTATGTCTTTCTTTACTTAGACATTTTGAAAACAATTTTAAAAATCACAAGATAATGATAATTATGATAAATCTGTTGTATATTTCAAAGGGTTACAAAACAGATATTCGAGAAACGTGTCGTCAGACCTCAAGTTAACCCTTTGTTTTCCCAATATAAATCAGTCCGCATAGAGTACTTTCAATTCCATAACCAACATTTGAAGTTTTACAAGTAAAAATGTCACTAGTTCAGCATAAAAACTATGTCAAGTAAGGTTTTATAAAAGGTTTGATTTGTTTTCTATCAAAACTGGTTATCTAATATTACATAAATACTTGTGGAAGCCTATAGCTCCCTTATGAATATACTAGTAGATGATATTTTTAGCATTTAAGAGATAAGAAATCTATATAGGAAACTGTCTTACCTTTGGATCTATATCTAGTGTAAATGTTTTAGATATGTGTTAAATGCTTGAATTAGCCTTCCTCCCCCAGTTTTTTCTCACAATCTAGCCTTGATGGAAACTGATCGAAACTTCACTCAAGAGCTGTTTCAACTGATACTAAGTTACCTGCTTGATTTTAGCAATCATTGACGTGATGACAAAAAAGGTTGCGGTGATAGGATCTGGTGCAAGCGGACTGACCGCCATCAAATGTTGTGTGGATGAAGGGTTACATCCAGTGTGTTTTGAGTGAACAGATCACATAGGTATATTTAAGATCACAACCAGTAATTATGTTTGACACATCATATGATTAATATTATAGGCTGATTAAAATAGTTTAGTACCTTCCTTAATCGTTGTAGATGGACTTCATTCATATATATTAAAGTGAAAATTTTCCTAATAGCAAGACTCTAACGAAGTGTTTTATTTCCTTTTTTTTCTTTTTGTCTTTGCCCTTAATTCATTACATTTAATATAACATATAATAGTTTTCACATTATCGGCTTTTTACAAGGTCAGCTAAATGTAGAGTCAATGAAGATTTGACTATGTGCTTTCTTGATCGAGCAGCAAACAAACACGACGTGCAGTAAAAGATATGATTTATTGATGGCGACCTATATACAAATGCGTGGGTTCCATAAGGGAAAACGTTTGGGAAATTTTATATAAGATTCCGTAATAAGTGCAGCATCGTCGGTAACCCATGGGTGATTCACATCAATTCTCTGTATCATTCTTTTTGGACTCAAAATCGTGGTTGCGACGATGTAAGCGCAGCATAATTTGACTTTCAGACTTAAAAGAACTTTTACAATTGATTTTTTAAAATGAAATCTTAGCTACTCAAACTGATACTATATAGAATTTTCAAAATATTTTGCTGTTCAACCGTCCAAAAATATTCTTAATTAAAAGAGATCTCTAATCAAAGTACTCAAATGTATATTTACATAGTACTGAACAAAAACCCTTTTACACGAAACATTTATGTACATTGTGATAGCAGATTAATAACAAGAAGTTCAGAAACTGTAAGAATATATCTAAGCATTGACATTATTTTTTAAAAGATGTAGTCTCATAACTGCAACGGTGTGTACAAACAAATTGAGTAACGCTCGTTAGCGCGTTATAAAAATTTGCTTGGACACACCGTTGCAGTTATGAGACATCTTTCAAAAACAATGTCAATGCTTATATTTACATTTTCGAACTCCCTGTCTTGTCTGCAAAATTTATATTTCAAAATCCCCATATTATCCTTCGTATTAATGGAAGTTGCAAGAGCTACTACCGTAAGACTGTTCACTGTAAGCGTGAATTTTGATTTTCGCTTATGACCTTGCACGGCGTTCAACGTTTGTGACGTCATAATCAAAAACATACTTTTATCTTTGACCTCCCCGTCCATGGTATGGTGTTTTGCATGCCATAGCTTTCCACACATTTTATAAGCAGAATACATGCGGAATGTAAATATAACACAAAAGTATGTTTCTTTGGAATATAACATATAAAATGTCAAAAGTTGAATTTAAATTTAGTTGGACTTTAGCAGCAGCGTTATCAATATATCAGATGTCTCGTTCTTGCCTCTGATATCACTTCCAAAAGTAAACAAACATTGCAGTAAGCTCAGAAGTTGGCTCACAGATGAGACCTCAGCCGGGAGTTTTGCTTTACCTCGGGTCACGTGCTCCCAGCATGTGTGTTGACCTGGTAACACAACCTCTATTTATAGAATATGACAGAGGGACCTGATAAAAATCTTTCGCATATTTTACACAGTTGTAAATCATTTGAAAAACATGGGTGAATTAATGTCTGTATAGAAAAATCCTCAAATTACTTTACTTTGTTTGATATTTGATTTAGTGTTTGAGTTATCTCAACAGTTGTTCAGAGTACGCACTATATTTCTAAGCGAACATTTAATTTGGGTGTGAAGAGTCAGGATATCCGTTTGAACACCGTGACAAAAGCCGGTGTAAAGACGACCCCTTAGAAATATGAAATACATGGTTACTGTCTTGAAATATAAGCGATATTTGGGCGAGGGTAAGAAAACGTGATAGAGGGCGAGGCTTGCCGAGCCCTCTATCACGTTTTCGACCCGAGCCCAAATATCGCTTATATTTCAAGAAAATATCGATGTATTTTGTTAATCCTGCAACATATTTTTACATGACCTTCAAAACGAGCTATTTTCAATCGATTTAGGTACATCTCTGCAGTTGAATATAAGACGCCATGGCGTAAACATTGCAATATTCATGACGTCACAATGCTTTTAGAACGTCGGAATACATCCACGAGGCTTTATTAGGACATTGACCGAATAAAGCTTTGGTTTATTAGGTTACCTTTATTAGGTCAATGCAAGGGGTGGTTGCAGGATAAAATTGACTGGAGGTCATTTTTTGACGTCGAGAAATGACTCTAAGGGCATTATCTGAAGTTGAAAATGACCCTTTTGCCTGTAGGAAAAGTGGCATCACCCTTAAAATCTGTATAACCTACGTGAAGGAAAATGACCCTCGTAGAATAATGACCACTTATAGATTTATTTAGGGATAATTTTTTCTTTTAAGTTAAAAAGACTAAAAGTTATAAATCAAGAGGCCCGTGGACCAAAATCCTCACCTGAGGTAATTGAGGATATC